AATCGACATCCCCGTTCATTAGCTGCCAAGAGCTAACTATAAAACTACCTTTCCTATTTTGGATTAACAGACGAATGTAATAAAATTTCCTACACCTCTTCATGTACATGTTGAACTTCACACTGAAGTATCTTCTGCCAGTCACCTCGCGATTCTAGATACTAGATAGATCTTCGATTAAAGTTTAATTAGGCCTGTGAGAAATATGCTGAGCTGTAATCGTTGCGTAAATCGTTAGTCATGCTCTCCCCACACAGAGAATACGTCTGTGAGACAAACGTTCGTGCTACATCTTTGAAAGAACTGCAGTCTACGGTGGAACTCTCCGTCAAACAGAAGCTCGAGCTACAAATCAACATGGTCGAGTACTTCCAAATATTGAGCGCGATCGCCGTGGTCTTCCTGGCGTTGTACTATTACTTCACGTCGACGTTCGACTTTTGGAAAAATCGCGGTGTTGTTGGACCGCGGCCTCTGCCGATTTTCGGCAACCTGAAGGATGTACTGCAGAGGAAAATGATCATGGGCGATTGCGTGAGAATGTTGTACGAGGAGTACAAGAGCCAGCCGATGTTCGGGATATTCATGAGACGCTCGCCCTCGCTTGTTCTCTGTGACTTAGATCTCATCAAGGACGTACTGATCAAGAACTTCTCTACGTTCGACGATCGAGGTTTGAGCGTACCCGAAAAGGTACGTATTGCAAACGTTAGGCCGTTAGGACGTGCGTGCAATTTTTATGTCTCTCACGTTCTCCACCGTGTCAATTATATCTGTGGTTGATAATAATAATTGTAAGAGATACTACTGTGAGTCACATGTGTTTATCTTTCGAGGTAATGTCGTTTGAAGTGTTTGACATTAGTGACGCCTCAGCGATATGTCCTTCTTCTTTAAATACAGTAATATTGTTTCTCCTTTTTTTTCATGTATCTTGCTTCTCTCCTTCTTTTCAAGTATAGATCACTTATAATGCGTTCATTCACAATTTGTCACTTTTTAATAATATTTTTGATTAAACAGAAGCATCGAATATAATTTTGATCGTTTCATTTTATACAAAGTTAATAAGCTTAGAATAAGATTAATAAGAATGGGAAATGAAAAGTAATCACGAAGGAAGAATTACTTGTTTTAAATTTGATGAATATCAATCATTTAATTTTATGTATTAAAAAGATCAAACTGAGAGACTCAAAGAATGTGTTACGAACATAATTAACCCTCTTTAATATTGAAAAAAGATAATTCCGAGTGAAAAGTATCAGGCCGAACCGATGCAGTTTGATGAGGTTTGAGAGGGAAAAAATGAATAAAAATATAGCGATAATTACAAATGGAACATTTTAAAGAATAAAAAAAAAAAATACTGTACTCCAAAAGGTAAATAAATGAATAATTTGTAAATGAATAATAATCCTGTAAACTATTTTTGATACAAGTCTCTTATAACTATAGCCGATATATCATTGGCACTAAAAGAGTTTAAATATTGCTCCGTTCTAAATATTTTACATGTATCATTGAACATTACCCCGATACAATTATAGAAATAGAATCCAAACATAATTTCTAATTATATTGTAAAAAACAGAGGAATACAAACATTCGATAGTTCTTGAAACGACTTCCATCCCATTGAAAAACCAATGAAACAAGGAACTGAAAGGTTTGATCAAATTTTAATTGGAGACTAATCCACTGGGGTCAAATCTCTTCAACGTAGACGCGACAAGATGGCGACCATTGCGAACGAGACTGTCGCCTGTGTTCACCTCCGGCAAGCTAAAGGGAATGTTTTCCCTGATATGGGAGTCTGCCAAAAATTTGGAGCAATGCCTGGAGAAGCTGGCGGAAAAAGGAGAGCCGGTGGAATGTCAAGAGTTAGCAGCGAGATTTACCACCGACGTTATCGGTAGCTGCGCTTTCGGCATCGATATGAATGCACTGTCGAACGAGGAGAGCGAATTCCGAAGGATAGGGAAGCAAATCTTCGATCAGAATTGGAAAATATTCTTGAGGAACACTTTTCGAGATATGTTCCCACGATTGTACAACGCGCTCTGGTTCATCATACCGCTACACGAGTCTAATAAATTTGTTATGAAACTGGTCAAGGATACGATGAAATATAGGGAGGAGAACAACATTGTTCGGCCAGACTTTATAAACATACTGATGGAAATGAGGAAGCATCCGGAAAAGCTAGAGAACATCAGTGAGTCAATCAATCGCGTTTTTATTCCTATTGGTCGATTAATAATAGAACATTTAGAACAATTTTGCAGAGAGTTACACGAACGTTGTTACTGTTAGATATAATTTAGAAACAGAGTGCAAATGAACATTCACAATCGGTGAATTTGTCACATTCATCGAGTATCTGATAGGTTTATTTTAAATATTCTCTGACTTCAAGAGAGTCAACTTTGCCCCTCTGAAAATATTTGTCCATTATCTGAGTAGTGATAAAAGAATTCTAAGTTACTGTTTCAAGTGACTGCCTTCGTTATGCAATCAATGATATTTAATATATTTAATATAGTGAATTAAATATGATTAACTGCATAACGAGAGCCACTTGAAACACAATCGAATAAATATCACTTATTAACATATTTATCTCGAATCTGATAAAATTTTGCGCAAATTTTACAGAGTTAACGGACACGATTCTCGCTGCGCAAGCGTTCGTCTTCTTCGCGGCTGGATTTGAAACGTCTTCGACGACGATCTCGCACACCCTCTACGAAATGGCAATAAACCCCGGCATGCAGGACAAACTTCGAAAAGAAATAAGGGAATTCCATGCCAAAACTAATGGAAGCTTCCAGTACGAAGAAGTGAAACAAATGAAGTATTTGGACAAAATATTTAAAGGTACACTGTCGTTAAACTCTTTTACCAAGGATTTGAGAATTCGACTCTGATCGATTGCTGAACATTAAAGAGAAAACTTACGTTTGTCACACAGAAACGCTTAGAAAGTATCCACCAGCAACGGCTTTAATGCGGATGAACAACGCTGACTATACCTTCAATGATACTAAAGTAACGATCCCGAAGGGTACTAGAGTAATGATCCCCGTGTTAGGAATTCACAGGGATCCAAATATTTACCCGGATCCTGACAAATTCGATCCTGAAAGATTTAACGAAGAAGCCGTGGCAGCGAGACATCCGATGACCTTCCTACCTTTTGGCGATGGACCAAGAAATTGCATTGGTAAAGTATACTAAAATAATTTATTAACCAAGAGTCGCAAAACTTTTATAAAATGAACAACAGAAAATGTTATGTGTCTATTATAAAAATATTGTACGCACGTTTTATCTTCGATCACATGTCCCGTTCATTCATTTCAAGTAGTAACATGGCAAAAATTGTCGCAGAAATGGATAGAATATACGTAATAGTATAAAATGTAAATCAGTATTATTATATTATATTATATTAAATATAATATAATATAATATAATAAAAAGCTATATATAAAAACATCTGTAGTTAATACAAAGAAAATTTGCTGACTTTCTGTTCTGGTGCATTAACGAATTTTATTATTGTTTCAGGATCACGATTTGCAATTTATCAAACCAAAATAGGACTGATCAAAATATTGCAGAATTTTAGAGTAGATCCTTGCGAGAAGACATTAATTCCATACGTTAACGATCCAAAAGCCCTCATATTGTGCCCCAAGGACAAAGCTGTATTGAAAATAAGCAAAGTAGACAATTGAATTGATCATAATCAAAATAAATTTAACTGCGCGCGAAATACGTGTTACGCGAACGAGCAACACTAAAATTTTGAACACTAGAATGTTCACTAGAAATTTGAAGCTTAACACATTTTTTACCTAGTTAAAAGTTTCCTACTTTCTGATTGCTCGGTAATAAATAGTATTATAAAGATAACGCTAAGTTCTCTATTCTTTCTCCTATTCTTCTATTCTTTCTCCTTTTTTACGTAAAAACGATATCGTAAATATCACATCTATTTTTATTGCTACAATTTTATATGTTGAGATCAATATAAATAATGACTGTTATAATAAATATACTTTTACCAACTCAGTCTCGATTTAAAGAAACATTAATCTCCTTTGAAAGTACTTGCATTTAAACTAATTCGATCTCCTATATGGAATTTGAAAACGGGACCTATAATTATAATGAAACTCTTGTTTGACAAGAAAAGACAAAGATAATTGAATCCTGATTTATATTAATTCTTTGAAACGTGCTATACGCTCTTTATAATCATTACATATCAGAAGAAAAAATACAGATATCGCGAATATCCTTCAAATAACATTCCGTATTATTATTATCTTACTATCATTCTAATTTTTTTATCAAGTACTACTGTATCGTACTATTATAACTTTACAAAACGTTCTATATATGTATGAACACAATGATACACATATAAATTCAAAATTAATATTACAGATTTTCATTGAATGATATATGTATGATTTTTACGTATAATATATATATATATATTATACGTAAAAATCTTGAATTCTAATACTGATGTTACTCTTATAATTTTGTCTTTCACTACTACGTAATATAATAATTTAAAGACACGTTATTGATATTAATATAATTTACGAATTAAAACACAGATTTAATGGTATTTATCTAATTGTAAAAATGCAAGTAACATTCAATTACAATTCAGACAATCTTCAAAAGAATGTGTCATCGGGAAATTCAGTGAAATCACCTATTAATGACATTGGTCAGTTATGTTGCAATAATTATAATTATAATATATTGATTATAATTATCATTATAGTGATTATGATAATTTATATAGGTATATCTTCTTTTTTCAAACATTCGAAGTTTATCAATTTTGTAATAACAATTTTCTTTTTTCACATGTCGGTCACCAATTTTATAGTTGTATTTTATAGCCATAATTTTCTTTATCTAAACGTACTTTTTTACGTCACTAATTTTGTGGTTGGGTCTTCTTTTACTATCACGTCAGGGTCACCAATTTTATAATGACTATGATAATTTATATTTATATCGCAATACTACAAATAAATAATAACTCCGTAATTAATTTTAGTTGTTTATATAAAAATATTATCAATATCACAAAATATACAATTACTAATAATTTAATGAAGATTACATAATGGAAGTTAAAT